ATTCATTACGGTTACTGTTATTATTACCGTTGTCTTCATCATCATCATTTGTTTCTGCGCTCGTTTCAGGCCAGTCTCGTTCTCTTGTGGGATCTAATGGTTGTGAATAATTGGTTCGTGATTGTGAACGCCTATCAGCAAGCATTGAATCTGTACGTTGTTTTCATTACCTGTTGTCACTATTTACCTTACCTATGTATTTTGATACTATACATAAGTGTGCAATCATCCTGCCGGGAAGAGCGAGCACGACTGATTTGAGGCTGTCAACCAATAAACGAGTTATTCGCTCAGCTGGCTACATCACTTTCGAACGTTTCTGATTCTCTGGCTAGTTTGTATCGTTCTTGAGAGTTCCATTGAAGAGTCCGTCTTGTTTTAGTTTGCGACCGTGTATGATCACAAATAACGTTGTGCGGATGTATCCGGCCACCACGCAGGGTGCCTGTGTTTCGTGCTACCCAGTTGTTTAAGCTTTATCTAATCGATATGGGACAAATATTCCTCCGAAAGCCTCAGTATGGTGAGGTATGGGTGTCTAAGGTTACGGCTGGTCACCCTTCCCTTGCACAGCAAATGCTCCCCTACGACCAAGCGTCTCGAATAGCTTCTGCTGAGGAAGCCCTACTCACTGCCTTCTCGTGGCGGTGTTTCCCCACCAAAGTGAGAGGACGAAAAGCCGAAATCCGGGGCTATAACCGGGTTGATTTCCCGCTGGTAGTCAACCTAGGGGAGTTGGTCAAAAACGCTGATTCCAAACCAACCAAGAAGAGGCGTACGAACCACACACCTTCCCTGTTGTGGTCACCGGCACGATTGGGCATTGAGATACATTGAGCACCTTGGACGTTTGACCCCGTCCGAAGGGCGCATGATCCGATAAACTGGACACCGGCTTCCAATGGACTGCGGTTTTCACACACCGCCCCGCTGCCTTGCGGGTCAGGCTTTGACTAGCTAAGGGCTCCGGTTGTGGATTTCTCAAGAAAATTCACCTGCCGTGGCCTGGGCAACCTGGCAGTATTCGGCCTACAATCGAATCATAAAATGTTTTTCTTTTTTATGAAGATTACCGTACTAGGACTTGCTTGGCGCAGTCTGGCCTCAGACAAGTGTGAAATATAATACGCAATTTAGGGAGGCTGCCAATTACTAAATGGAAATGTGGGACGACGATATCAAGGTTGAAACGCATGAACTACGACACTTGGGGACCGACACACCATATTGCGCGACCATCAGCACCCAGTGCCAGTCATTTCATTGTTATTTTCTTTTATTGAATATACAAAGATGAATTTTTAATACATCAGGACCAAATGATGTTAGGGGTGTATCGAAAAATCGATTCTCTACCGATAGCGCTGTGTTTTCAAACATATATAACACTCACAACACAAAGATATGGTTTTCAGGAGGGATGAGGCGGCCAATTAAAGGGCTGCTATATAATATATAATAGGTAAAGTGAGGCGAACTCATGTCCTCCGAGGTGATAATTTGGTGGCATTACCACCGCCTCCGTGCGACTCTATCCAAAAATCCAGTTCACAGAAGCTTAAGTATTTTCAGTAGACTTTAAATAGAGTTCGCGGACTCCTTCAGCTTCTCATTTGTGTTACTTGCCTTTTCCCTTCTCCAGATGGGTTCATGTGTATATGATCAGCTGGTGGATTCTGGCCCCAGTCGGTTTATTGAGCCTGGTCACGGCTTTCGTTATTGAGGTGAGTCACTGCTCCATCTTGCTTCCGGTTTCTATTCTGTTATTCATGTATTCACAAACCGTATGGGTGATTATGTGTCATGTGAGACCAAATCGTCCGGTTCTTGAGAGATGTTGGCAACTAAACATGCTCTTTTTGAGAAAGAAAAAAAACCACGGACGCCACGTGATACATTTGAATAGACATATCGCGAGGGGAAATCCTTTGTTTTATCCACCCATCGGTCTCTAACCTGTAACCTGTATACAGTAAATAACAATGAACGGTAACGGATGGTTGTGGCACTTTTAGCACGCAAAGGAACTAGAGGTCGTTGTTAGAAGCCATGGCATGTTGAAGAGTAGTGTCGTGGGTTTATGGGCGCACAGGGTTGACTTGTGGTAGGCACTCCATAAGACCTCGGATCACCATAAACAATTTGATTCGCAGTGACGCATTGTGTGTCGAAACGCTTCGACTGGATTGACCTTGTGACCGCTCTCAATCTGGTCGTGGGCGTTCGCTAATATCGGCCACTGCGTTGCGTTTCTGTTCGTTGAGTTATGACGAATCATTGCCTTGCGTCGGTAAAATGTCAAATACAAGAATGACTGAGTGTATCCACAAACAAGTACTAGTGTTTTACTCCAATTGGACTACCTCCTCTTTCAGGATGAGCCAACTCTAAACTTATCCCTGATAGCACCTGTCCATGCACATGGATCCACGGCCCAATCAGCACGAATAGATGTCTCGTTGTGGTTCATTTTCCACATCGTTCTTAATCGATTTTTTTTGTTTAGTCTCCTAAGAAGCAGTGCCATCCCGAGAGGTCAAAACAAACGTGAATAGGAACCACTTGTCACCAGGCGTTTCTTATTGCAATGTTTCTCACGTTTACCTTTTGTGATCGGCCATTCTCACGAGTATTTTGTTTACTTTAGTTCAAACAACTTGGGCAGCGTGGTATTCCTGGTATTTCTTTCCCCGCTTCTTGGTTGCATATTTTCAATCAATCTAACGCCAGTTATATACATATTTTTGTATTGCATCAAAATAGAACTGATACACAAATCAGTATTCAGTTGAATTTACGGCCTTGACAACTAAACGTGTCTGTTTACGCATGCGACAGTTATTGCTCACCTAATCCTACATGGCCGGATGTGGTTCGAGGTCACGAAGTCCAGTCATCACCGTGGAGCTTGATCAGCCAA